CTTATTGATTCTACCAGTATCATAATTATGACAACGGTACCAGTGATTACATATTGCTTTCAACTGGTCAACAATAATGGAATTTTAACCCATATCTTCTTGTTCAGCTTTAGTTGGTGTATATTTACCAGTGCCAAGGTAGAATCTCATTGCTCTATGATGTATTAATGCAATACAAGAGAAATGCTTGGTTCCATATATATGTCGGTAAGAGATATCAGGAACTACATATGAATAATACAATTTGGTGTAGACTTCATAGAGTAAACCACCTTGCCTTTTGTATTTAGCATTGAGAAGCCCCAAGGCACAAGCACTGTGGATTGTTTGTTTTTCTTACGAGTATCTATAATATATGAAACGCTATTTAAAAGGTTTATTGTGTTACGCTTTTTACGAAAATCATTCTGCTCATCAACAATAATTTCTTTGGCATCTGTCCATTTTACAATACATTCATTCAGAATACTTGTATACATCTTGTACATCATTGAAGCTTATGAAATAGCTCAATATGACACAGGAGCTCTAAAATCATTGTAACTAGACTTTGGTATTGGATAAATAATACACTTTGACAGGATGTCGGAATTCTTCCAGATTGGAAGCAGACAGTAAACAAGCTATATAAAACAAAAACATGTAGTAAAGCTTCATTCTTTAAGACATCTGAAGGTAAAGAATCTATTCCAGCCGCTTTTAAAGTACCAATTAGCATTTTTCCATAGCCTTAACTACTTCTACAATATCTATATATATAAGTCTAAATTGGCATATAAAACATTTTCAGCACTATCAAAGTTTTCAGCAAAAGATGTAGGAGAAGTAATCCGTCTCTTGTGAAGAAAATTGCTTATTACTGCTTAGTTATCCAGTACAGTCGGTACAGTGCATCGAGCGACGAAATATGGCCAAAACATGTTAGAATTGGTTTAAAACAGAAAAAAACACAAATAAACAATAAACAAACAAAGCTTTAAAAAAGTTAATACAACAAATTTATTTATTTTCTTTTACAAACCGACAATGTTCCTAAGATTAAGGCTCGTTCGGGAACCCTTGCTTCTGCATATCATTTGAAAACTGAAATCATGGAGCTTTATATTATATCTTGCCAAAATGGTTTCTGATTAAAAAACCGAAAAGTTTTTATTTTTTAACCGAAAAATGTTCCCCTACTTTGGAAAAAAAAGTCCCCCCGTCTTTATAGTTTTTGAAGACGGGGTGGTAAAGGGTTTGCGCGGGGAAAATCGTTTTTTTTGGACCCAGTAACAAGATTTTTTGTTGTTTTTTTTTGGGTTTCTGGGTTGGTGAGCGGAGGTCGAGAGTCCCAAATCCCCAGTTTAGGGGTCGGATCTCTTCTGATCGTTTTTAAAACCCTTTCCCTTTAAACGATTTGAAAGTTCGTCATAGTATCGAAAATTTTAAACATTTTGAAAAAAATGTAGGAAATTTTTTAAATTTATTGAACGCGACTTTTTCTAGCTTGTTTTTTAAAAAAAAAAGTCAAACAATTTAAAGACGCTTGGTGTCTGGCCCAAAAATTTTAATGTAGCCCAATATTCAAATACTTTAAACTTATCACTGTGATACTTACTTCTCTTGGTTATATAAGGGGGATAATTTAGTAAAAACTATATTTTTGGAGTTATGTCCCCTTTTTAACTTGGACTTCTGTCAATAGTGGTTCTTTTAAAAGACGAGCGTTAACACAACATGCAGCATTTTTGGTTTTTTTTTAAACTGATAAATTGTTTTTTGTCATAAAATTACTATCATTATATAATAAATGTTAACACTTGAAGCGTAGAATAATCTACTTCTTAAAAACATTAAGACTGAGCATAACATAAAAAAGCATTTAAGAACATGTTTATAATCCGTAACATTTTAAAAACGCTCTAGGAAGTTCATATCGGACAAAAATGTAAAAAAAAATTATCTCAGTTAAAATAATGCTCTAGTTAAAAAAGTAATAGATAGCAATCATAAAGTGTACTACTTATGTCCCATCATCAGTCAGGCAGTACAGTATATATAGTAAGTGTGCGATTTTGAAAAGTACACATCAGTCACGCGTTTGATCATTTTCAATAATTTTTTGCTCACCAGGCAATTTTTTTGTGTATATCTTGATAAATACTTTTTTGAAATATCAGAAAAATGGCTTTTACGTTAGTGTAAAAAAGTTGTTTGTATCGAGAAAAGAGAGAGCGTTCATTCATTCATTCGTTCGTTCGTTCGTTCGTTCGTTCGTTCATTCATTCATTCATTCATTCATTTTTTATTTATCTATCTATCTATTTATCTATTTATTTATTTTGCTGTAAAAATTCAGGATACAGCCTAACCAAAAAGATAAGGTCTTTGGTGGGAATATTTGTTAAATAATTAGAACCACTGAGATATACCGTATACAATGACTTTTGCTTTTTTCTTCTTTTTCTTTTTCTACGTCTCTCCTTTTGAGCTGCTTCAATCTATATATTTTTTTCTTATTAGCGTCTTACTATAGTGCATAAAATATGATTAAAGGCAACGTTATGCCTGAGAAATCCATATATTTTCAATTCTTCAGAAATGTCAAACATGTTTTTGATAATGTTTGAATAATGAATTATGTGCATGTTAGATTATTTAAAACTGATAAGGTATTGCTGAACGTGCAGTTACATGCCACAAAGATAGCAAAATGTAAACAAAATAGTATTTTGACTTCCATACAAAATATCAATTCACTATAATTATACCAATTACCAACATAACTAAAGATGTAAAAGATAGTTCATGTATAAAGCAAATGAGTATATTTTTGGACACTTGGATACCCAAATTAAACAGATTTTTGAGAAATAAAAATAATAGGGATTTTTTAAGGGGTAAGTGCCTTTTATTGGGAGATTTTTTGGATATATTTTTAGTTTTTTTGTTTAAAAATATTGTGATTATTTTTTTTCTTTGTTTTGTCCCGGAGGGATATTTAGTCGTCTACGTGTTGCGATACTGGGAAGGGTTTTTTGTCATCAAAAGCCCAAAAACCGAGCACACCAACAGTTTTACAACAAGACGTCCCGGGGCTTTGACATGTGGCAACATCCTGGGCAAAAAACACTTGTCCAATTCAGGGGAAAACGTAAAAGAGGAGGCCGGCGGTATCTTTTCATCCCCGGTTTCGCTAAAAAGAAAAACTGGTGGGCATAGACAAAGCCTACAACCCAGATCAAAATGATAATGTATCCCTTGATATAGGTATGTTTAATAATAATGATAATCCCAATTGTGAATGTCATAAATGTATGCTTAAATGTTACCCTAAGTTTATTGATTTATTCGTTGTTGTTTAAAACATTTCAGTCGTAGAACAAGAACGGATATCAAATTAAGTATATGCTTGGTCGGCCTTAAATGGGCTCAAATATTGACAAAAGAAAATTACTTTTTCTCGAAAAACTATGCACAATGCCAACACATCTACTGGCAAGACACATTTTCGATCTTAGATCTCAGTTTTTTATAAATAGAATTTCACTATTAAGAAATGATGTATAACTGATATATTTAAAATATTAAGAAAATACGATTGAACAGATCACTTATACAACTATGAAAAAAGTGGTCGTTTGCTTCTTAATGGATGTTTAACAAGCTGTGAAATCGTGTTCCGTTTGTGAATGGAGAAAAATATTTTTGAAGATAAAGAGTTTGAAGACTTAATTCGTTTCAGAAGATAAAATATGTACCTTAAACCTGTTATAATTTACGAATTACCACGTAATGCTCAGGTGTTAACTTTGTGTATGTACATTGCAAAATTATGGGCAATTGTATAATAAAAAAAATCCAGATGTGCTTAAAATGTAACATTCTATGATGGGATCATTTCTCTTCTTAAACACATGTGTGCAATAAACCCACTTTTTATTCCAGTTTTTCGCAAATATCAAACGTGTAGTAGGTTACACTGTCTGAGAAAAATAACTGAAATTTATTTCACAAATTTTGTTATGGCAAACAAGGACATACTAAGTGGAGATCTTAAGACGTTTATCCATTTATTATGTTTTTTTTATTTTGTTTCATAAAAGCTCTAATTTTAAATGGAAATTCTATACCATGAATAAAAAAATCAAAGCATTTTTTTGTCACAAAGTAGGTACTTGTGTGCATTTTTGTGTTTATTAATGTAAATATGTATATGCATGTACTATAATACATAGTATGAATGTATGTCCTTAACCTATGTTTTAACACTGACCTATATTTTCTATGTTTGAATCATTGTGTAACATGTAATGAATGTGATTGTTTGTGTAATTAATGTGATTGTATGTGTAATGAATGTGATTGTATGTGTAATGAATGTGATTGTATGTGTAATTAATGTGATTGTATGTGATTGTATGTGTAATGAATGTGATTGTATGTGTAATTAATTAATGTGATTGTATGTGTAATGAATGTGATTGTATGTGTAATGAATGTGATTGTATGTGTAATTAATGTGATTGTATGTGATTGTATGTGTAATGAATGTGATTGTATGTATAAAACAATTTTTTTTTCTATTCTGTTTAAAATATATGAAAATGGGAAATAAAGTGTAATAAATGATATGTCTAAATTTCATGATTATGTTCTAAAGATGAAATAAAAGTGATTTTATTTTAAACATTTCTTATTTACGCTCACTAGTAACAAAAGCTCAAGCTTATTTTAACGACGTTAGATTCATGTACTAACCAATACTATAAGTCAACATGGATGTGACCAAGCAAGGCTGGAACCCAAAATTCTTAGGTCGAGAGGCTTTGTCTTTAAAAATTATTCCGAATGTGTTTTTTTTTCTCTACGAAAATATTAGATTTACACCATTTCCATCTTTATGAATTAATTCTGTAAAACAGTGGTTTCAGAAAAGCGCAAAACATCTGATTTGATGCTTTTGTTTAAAATTGCTTTTTTTTATATATTTTTTTTCATTTATTTATTCTTATCTTCAGATCTAACAAAAACAAAATCACTGATAGAAGTTAGCAAAGCGGACGGATCAAGTATTGAGGTCGATGACGAAAATGATGAAAACGAGTGCAGTTACGTCAACGCGACGTTCAAAGCAGACGAAGTTAGTCATAGTGATTGCTTTCTGTCTGTATTTGGTAAGAAAGGGAAAAATATAGGCGAGTTTGAAGACGCTAAGAATATCACGTGCTTGCCACGTGGTCGCATTCTTATATCTGATTACGTCAACAGTCGTCTGCAAATCTGCAGTGAAACGTCAAAAACGATAACTGTGTTTTCCCCACAAGAAATAAATTTACCCTGGGCGACGGCTTTAACGAAAGAAAACTTTATTGCAGTTACGTTGTGTCAAGACAGATGCGTAAAAATTCTAAATTTAGACGGTGACGTCATCAACAGTTTTGGAAATGATTATTTTGTTAGGCCAACTGGATTAGCTACAGACAAAAACGGAAATTTCATTGTTTGTGATTCTGTAACAAACAAAGTCTCTATGTTTGACAATGAGGGAACTTTTATTCGTCTCCTTGGAAACTCAGACAACAAACAGGAATGCTTTAATAAACCATCTTACGTGTGTGTTTCGAACACGGATGAAATTATTATTTCAGACTCTGGAAATCATATGGTGAAAATATTTGATTCCTCTGGAAAATTTGTAAAGTCCTTTGGGTCATTTGGCAAAAAATACAACCAATTTAAATTCCCTTATGGAGTCGCCACAAACAAATGCGGAGACATTTTCGTTGCCGATCATTACAACAGCCGGATATCAATGTTCACGAGAGACGGTGTATTCGTCCGCCATATTGTGACGTCAGAGCACGGACTTGTTCATCCACAAGGGCTAACTATAAGCGATGATCTTCATTTATTCATCACGCATGGTCATCTTAAAGCGAGCGAAATACTGGTGTTTAAGCTGACAAATGACGTTGAATACGCACATAATGACGTCATATCATATGTATAATTCTTTAGGAATAATACATGAAACAAAAAATCTAAACTATCTAGAATAGATTCGTGTACATTCGGCATAATTATTCAGCTTTTTACGTGACTATTTATACATGGCTAATCTCTACGTTGATCTGTTATCACATAAATATCATTTACGGAAATGTAACATGTTATATATGAATGATATACCTCAAGCTACTGGTCCAAGTCATTCCTAGTTTTCTTATGCATTTACCGAACGTATTTTAAGGAACATTAGATTGTTAAAAATGCGTGTTCATTTACATTTGTTTTATCGTAATAAATGCATTGTATAACAATATTGATAGTTCTCGTTTTTTTACAATATTTGGATGTAGTTTTCTTAATCACTAAATTATTAGAAAGGAACACTTCTTTGCGGTTAGGTCTTACTGAAATTACGCACCATTTTATTTTTATATGTCCATTTTATAATGAAATAAGAAAAGCTTTATAAGTTTAATTTGTTAATTGTTAATGTTAAATATTTATTGTTTCACATAATAATTTTATATTTTTTAGCTTTTTAATTTATTTTTTATTATTTTGTATACTTTTGAAATTTTTTTGATAACATTTGGTCGTTACGTCATATGACTTTCATCATTAAGGCAGTGATTACAATTCTGTCAAGGGAGGTAATCACTGTGAGGAGTTTGGAGTAGAGTTTGCCCATCGCAATTTATTTCGGCGCTTCCCGCCAAAATTTGAAAAAATAATAGTACAGAAATTCGCATGCATGTAAAATGTTCCTGTCGGATACAGTGATACTCTAACAAAAGCTCACAAAGGTCTTATCATGCATTTGGATGAATTAAATTTCAAACTCATTGAATGTCCAAATAAATTCATGGATTCGATACATTTAGGAATAATTATGTTAACTTTTTAATCTTTTAGCTATCTAAACAGTTTCATTCTTCATAAATATATTTCTATTTACCACAAATCATGCTCTGATTTTTTTCCATAAAACTTATTTACGAGAAGGAAAGAAACATAAGAAGTGAATTAATATAAATTGGTTTAATTTTGATTTTGATTTAGCGTGTTTTAAGAGCATAAATGACATATTCGCAAAACAGTCTTTGCGTCTGTTTGTATTTATTAAGAGGTATTTAATATTTTCGGGAAAGATCAAAGCCATTTATCGCAAACATGCATTGCTTTCTTTTAAATAGATTAATTTATTTTATACCTTCTTGGTTTCTTTTTAAGTGTCTCTTTAATTTTAAAATTAACGATCAAAAGGAAAAATAAATACCATGATGTTAACAAATTTTGGAGTATCGTTCACAGAGCGCATCCCCTATAATATCCTTTAACATCATCGTATATCTTTGATAAATGCCAAGAAAGATTGACCGGAAGATTATCATTTGAGCCGCGTCACGACAAAACCAACATAATGCGTTTGCGACCAGCATGGATCCAGACCAGCCTGCGCATCCGCGCAGTCTGATCAGGATCCATGCTGTTCGCTTACAAACCCTATAACAAGTAGAGAAACTTATAGCGATCAGCATGGATCCTGATCAGACTGCGCGGATGCGCAGGCTGGTCTGGATCCATGCTGGTCGCAAACCCATTATGTTGGTTTTGTCGTGACGCGGCTCATATGAAAATGTCAAGTCTGAACAAACTGGGGTTTTTCAAAATTCCAAATTTTACCATTTTATGTTAAATACTGCCGGTGCAAGGGAGCGTGGAGCGTGGACTGTAGCTTGCAATTACCACTACCGTCTATAAACAAGCTCAATCAAACCGAGCCTGCAACATTTTCAATTTTGCCGTATTTGGACTTTCTTTAGGGAATCTGTTTTTCTCTATCATAGCCCACTGATTATGATCAGAGGAAGAAACTACTGCGGAGAGTTTGCTTATCCACCGTGTTTATCCAGTAACGCCGGAATGTGAAAATAACGCACGATTCGTGCAAAAAGTAACGCAGAATTGTGCAATAAATGGCGAATACCTGACAGGTACTTCTGGTGACATAGAAAATTGTCTGGTTTCTATGTCACTAGAAATTTAGTAAAATGTCACTTGCCTACCGAAAATCGAAATTACACGGTATAATATGCATTGTTGTACTTATAAGAGTCGTCAAAAAAAAATCACGCATGAAACGGTGATCAAGTCATCATTTTCACAAATGGTCTTCAACAGTAAGCAATTTCGTGAAAATAATATTGTTGATGAATGAAGAATAATGTCTTCGCGGCCGAATGCGGCTATTTATTTTTTCAGTATGGGTTAAATAAAAATATATTGACCAGTTTACTTACCGCGTTGGAAATCTTGTCAGGTATCCTAAATTTATTGCACAATTCTTCGTTTCTTATTGCACGAATCGTGCGTTATTTTCACATTCCGGTGTTACTGTATATACATGGTGTAATCGCATTTTATTTCGGCGCTTCCCGCCAAACTTTGAAAAATAATGATTCGTACAAAAACTTACATGCATGTAAAGATTTCCCGTGACACTGTCACGAAAAATAAATAAGACTCTCAAATATCGTATCTGTAAATTGCTTACATGTGTTTGCGTGAATTAAATTTAAGACTTATTAGATGTTCTTATAAATTTGTCATAAATTTGAAATATGCATATATGGTTTCGAAATAATTAAAATTTTGTTATCTTAGAATATCAAAAAAGCTTTATTCTTCACCTTTTAATCTACCACAAGTCATTCTCTGATCGTTTAATACAAGTTATGAGAAGGAAAATAATGAAAATTTCACGAATTTAAATTGAATTAATTTTTATTTTGATTTACCGTACGCGTGATTTAAGAGAATGCATGGCATATTAATAAAACAGCTTCTACGTCTGTTTGCACAAGTTTCTAAAGTATTTCAACCGATATTTTTGTTTGTTTGTTTTTTGTTTGTTTTGGGTTTTACTTCACATCGACACAGTATAGGTCATATTGCGACGTTCCAGCTTTACTGGTGGAGGAAGACCTCAGGTGCCCTTCCGTGCACTATTTCAGGCACGAATGGGCACCTGAATAGAACCACCGACGTTCCGTAAGCTAGCTGGATAGCTTTCTCACATGAAAGAATCCAAAGTCCCTGTCGGGATCCGAACCCACAGCGGTGAGGGGGAAGTAATTTGAAGTCAATGACCTTAACCACTCGGCCACGGACGCCCCCTTTATTTTTGTAATATTTATAAGAGGTATTTGATCTTTTACGAAAACATCAAAGGTATTATCTCGAACACTCATGGCCTTCTTATGACTAGGTTAATTTATTTCCTTTATGCTTTCTTTTCTGTATAATGTTATATTAACGGTCTAAGTTTAATATAACCATTTCTTGTCATTTAAATATCAAATAATAATAAAATGATAAAATATTTTATTTTATCTTACCAGAAAGAGCATGTACTCTCATTAAAGTGAAGTAATTATAATTATTTTACAGTTGATGTCTCTGCATTTTACTTCTATTTTTTGTAATTATAATACAGTGAATTATAGTTCATTGTTGTCAAGTGCGAAAGGCACATGCAATATTAGTCATATAAAACCTAATTAAATCTGTCTTTTGAACATGACCTATGACTAATTGATGCACAACTACAAAGTACTGGCCTGCTTTACTCATTATTATTGAACGTGTCATAAATGTGTTTGAAGATGGCTTCTCGTGTATACAAAATAAGACTTATGATGTATACAATATGCTTTTAAATACATTTTGTATATATCAACTTCTTTAAAATCCGTGTTATGATACGGAAGAACAAAACCCAGACGTGTAAAGAGGGAAAGGAAAAGAAATGAAGACGATGTCTGAAAATATTGTGGAAAGGAAATGGTTTTATAACTTATTGTATTGGCCTTGTTTGCAGATTACTCGACCTTTCTGTTTGGGAAATGCCTAGTCACGAATTTCATATGCGTAGAAATCCATGAGCAGGTCTTTCCTAAACAGAAAGATCGCTGCACAGGGTCGATATCCAACTTATACATCGTCATAAAATTGGCTTTAAATGCGATGGCTGACTATAACGAATCAGACGACATTTAATCCCCAGCACTTGATGAAAAAGACACATATATTAACAATATGTACATACACATAAATTGATATACATATAAATTATATTGTTTATATATTAAGAAATAATTATATTCTTATCTTAAAGTAGCAAAATAGTTGTATTCTTCATAAAAACTTTTAAATCTACAACAAATCATTTTCTGAGCGTTCCATAACATTTAAAAGAAGAGAAGGAAAGAAACACGAGAATGGAACGAATATAAATTGAATTAATTTGTATTTTAATTTAGCGTGATTTAAGAGAATAAATGACATATTCACAAAACAATTTCTGCGTCTGTTTGCATGAGTTGCTAAAACATTTGAACTGTGTTCATTTTACGAGATATTTGATCTTTTAAGGAAACATCAAAGCTATTTATCCCAAAGACACTAGTCCTTTAAAATAAAATCCTTATAAAATAATTTCCTTTATGCTTTCTTCTTAAGCAAATGTTATATTAGCCGTCTATGTTTTATTATCATCATGTCTTGTCATTTAAATATTAAGTAATAATACAATACCCCTGTTTAACCAATCAGAAAGAGCCCGTAAACTCATTAAAATGAAGTTATTATGATTATTAAACAGTCGCTGCCTATGCATTTTACTTCTGTTTTATTATAATTATAATAAAGTAAATTAAAGTTCATTGTTTTAAAGTGCAAGAAGGGCGTAATATATAAGTCATATTAAACCTAATTAAATCTGTCTTTTGAACATGACCTATGACTAATTGATGCACAACTACAAAGTACTGGCCTGCTTTATTCTTTAACAACTTTTACGTGCGAAAATATTTAAAGTTCGAATACAGAATAAGACTATTTATATTAACTATCAACCTTATAATACGAGAACAAAATCCAGACGTGTAAAGTGGGAGAGGAAATAGAATAAATAAGATGTCTGAAAATATTGCGGAAAGGAAAAGGATATTTAATTGTTTTTCCATTTATACTGGTTTCTGTTTACTATTGGCTGAGAGCAGTGTAACACCACACTTTGGGGTCCAAAGCACTTTGGGGTCCGACCAAAAAGTGCGTTATGTACTTTGGGTTCCGACCCACATTGAGGTCAATATTTTAAATTTGTAATTTTTAACATCAGACAAATGACCGCACTTTGGGATCATAAAAGCAGAATAAATGAAATTAAGTATAATTTTTATATTCAATTATATGTCACATAGAATAGAGGCTTTAAAGTGAGGTATGTAAATATGTTTTATGTCCATTG